ACGGCGAGGCAACTTCAGGCTGGTGCCAGTGATGCCATTGTGTCTTTTTTACTACATGCGAAGTTGTTTGCATTTTTATATGGTGTCTGCGCCCAATGTTATTTTATGTCTATTACTGTTATGTATTCTATGTTGTGTTAGGACCGTTGTTTGCAAATATGTATTATTATGGCTAGTTGTTGATCAGCGTACCGCTGACTACCGAATGGGGGAATCTTTAAATGCTGTGCTATAAACAGAGCGATCTATGACTATGGTATGTACTGAAGCAAATCTGTAAAACTGGTTACTTAAAACCGTTTAGTATGGCACAGTCTTTAAGTCATATGAAACGATCAACACTTTTTAAGCCAGGAAATTGGTTGAGGCCAATTGTTCCTATACTTGCGATCATTTCATCTGACATTTGGGAAGAAATGTCGTAATTTCGTTCCTCTACTCATTAATAATTTCGATTACCGATTAGAAGAAATGTTTCCAATTTGTTGCTTGCGAAACATTCAGGTAGGATCTTAGCACTACTCCTCCGTTGCATAATAAATAATCACTGTGCTTTCATGTTCCATTACATCGACTAGAATCTTTGAGAACAATATATTTGCCCCAACGAAGCTTTATGGGAAATTCATAGCCATGCTGTCGTACATATTAAAATCTTTGTAAATGCCCACAAGCAATAAATGAAGACTGCTGCTTTCATTTATCCCTTTGTAGATAATGAGGAAATCGTTTCATTGTAATCACTGTTACTATGGTTTGGCTACGTTTTGCAAATACTTCCTGAAAGGAAGCCGCCGAAACCTATTACTGATCAGCCGAAAACCAAGGGCACTGTAATGAATGACCTGGTCAGGTTTCTGTTCCAGACTCAGGTTATTTTCCGCGGAAGCTGTAATGATTGTGGCACAGAATCACACTTGTCTGCCCCGTGGCCCAAAATGATGCAAAGTCTTCGAAACTGTGTATCAGTTAAGGCATAATAACAGTGCTTAATCTAGGATGGCAGGCCGAATCATAACTTTAGATATTTTTACTGCATCTGCGAAGCACACTCTTGAGCGACTGCAGTCCTGAGAAGTAGGTATTTCCGAATTCGATGTTGGCCACTAGTTTCGATACCAGAATAAGATTATTTGAGCGAGTAAGGTTATCAAATCATCGAAACTAACCGTTTGACCTATGTATGGGTAGTGAATAATATTTCTGTTAAACCTCCATATGCTCTGTGCATACAGTGCTTATTGTAGATACAATAAAGTATCGGGACATTAAATATAACTTAAATTCAAAGGTTCTGTAAATTGACTAACACTGGAGACTTTAACCACCGTGACTTCTTATTCTTCTGTGTACATACGCTATTGTTCTCCATTTGCCTATGGCGGCAGGCCGATATTTTACATCTGTGTCAAGGCTAAGAGTCTCTTCATTAAACAACGCAGCATCGCTGGCCTGGCTGTAGACCCATCGATAGTCCATGAAGTACTTATGGGGATCAGTTTTTCTGAAACAGTACTTATTTCCTGAATTACGTTCTTTCAAGCATTTTGCTCCGCATTGTAAACAAACGTTCTCAGCTTTTTAACCCTTTACCAGAGCGAAGCTCTACCTCAGGGTATGCATACGTCATCATTGCGCGGTCGCAGAAATCCCCCAGGCTGTCAAATCGTGCAATCTGACCTCGCAGAACGCAACGCCATTTTTCAAGCTATTCCGTGCTTCTACGCGGTTCTTTATTGAGATGCTTGTGCCGTTTTTTCGTCCGTATTGGTGCAGGCTGCAACCATAGAGTAAAACTCAGTTATGACTCACCTAATTAAGCCATTATGAACCAGTTGTTGAGCAGTGTATCACGGTTTCCATGGCAGGTGCTTTTTTGTTTATCTTCATGTCACGAATCAAACTTAAATGGTTCAAAGGAGTTAACAACAGATGTCGTGAAAGTATTATTTTCGATCCGGATAAATGAACAATAGAGAATCACAGTTCAAAGAAATTTTCAGATAAAAACTTTGGAAAGCATCAAAATCAATTCCTTGGGTTGAGAGTCATTTCCCAAATGTAGATTCGATTTGTTATCTTCACAGACTCCTTTCTTTGGTGCAAATCTGATCTCGATTCGTCAAGCAGCGACGCTTCTTTAGCCGGTCACGACGTAAAGGTCAATATGCGCAACCCAGCACCATATGCATGGCTGGCTATGGGAGAAACACCCACACTGCTGTACGCGGAGTCGTAGTAATCACTCGATATATTGAAGTATGACACGCTTCAATCGAGAGTTATTAACATATGACTCTTTGAGGAATGTCTGAAGTTGAGCCAACAAAGTTAGATTTATGCTGAATCCATCTGAATTAAAAGACATAGTGTTTCGTCAATGACATTTTAAAAACAAAGGGGTCACAGCTTAGATCAAGATGCGGTAGTCGTGCGTAGACAGCTGTTCTGTAAGAATTGAGCGAATTCATGCGCCTCAAAGGTGAGCCGTGCTGGACAACGGAGTACAGTAGGACAGCACATTGCAGACGTGGTTCAGAAAGTTGCACAAAGATGCACAAAGATGTTTTCCCGGTGATCCAAACCGGTTCAAGTAAAGTGGACGGTTTTGGGATCCTTCGTTAAAATACATGTACGTCTTGTAATATAATATGCGGCGCAAATCCACGTCTCTCACTTGAACAAGAAATAGATTCGGCATTCCTTGTCGCAGAGAGCTTGATGGTTTTTCTTGAGAATCTACGCCCGTTTGAAGAGATGGATGTTATTGCTAGAAGAGTGATCGAACATGTTGTTTGACATAGACAAAAAATAGGAGGAATCAAAACATATAGTAGCAGCCTCCAGTCGAAGCCAGGCCAACCAGAAACCGTTCAGACCTGCTGTCTGCCTTATAAAATTCCACAGACGATCAGTTCTAACTCTTATCGTCATATGTTTACTGCATCCTGAAGCTGAGCATGCATCGATTCGCTGACAGCTCAAGGATCGCATATAACCTGGTCGATGATCAAGCTAAATATTTCTGTCGTTTCCCTGTATATTCTGTTGCTCTCTATGCACAAACTGAACTGAACTGAATTTGAGTACCAATTTGAGACTCCTAAAATCTCGAACTATTTTCAAAATTCTCATTAAACTAGGGTTGCATGCATTTAAATTGAAGTGTGGCATCTGAACCATCCTTTCGTTTTTCACCTGGACTGTTGATACGCCATGAGCGGAAGTCGACGCTTCTTCAAATCTTGTCTGCTTTCGAATCACCATCAAACATCACAGATCGCCTCCACCATCCACAATCCGTGGTGCACCTCTTTGTAGACGCTGCTCAGACAGGTTTTTCATGGCACTGGAAAAAAGGACATGAGCATCGCGCAGAATAGCAGCCGCCCATTACATGCAGTGTCTCGCAGTGTCCTTCGCGAACTTCATCCACCGTACATAAATATGTCTGTGTTTTGTCAGAACAGAATTATATCGAATATCCATAGTCCGAGCTTCAACGGCTTCAACGTGCCTTTTACGAAGTGCCGTAGACGTTGAATAACAATACATGAATTTGCTAATTGCCACATGGTCTTCTTCCTGTTTGACTTTACTACTTTTGCTTCATAGTTTCGGATTCTTTTTGTAAGCTCCAAGTACTCGAGTACGATTCTGTTTAGCTGAAAAGCGGAAATCTTGAATGGAACATAGTCCCATTCAAGCAATAAACCATTCATTCGTTCATTCATTCAGATGCGTTATTCTGCACCAATTTACCTGAGTTTCTTTCTTTGAGCGTTGTTTTCGGCTAGTGATTGTTTGATAGTTCATTCAGGGTTAACCCCTGACCCTCGTGAACTTTTACCCACAGCTTCCACAACATCATCCAGCCCAACAGATTCAAATGTGGAGGATTTTGTGAGGTCATCATCACGGACAGATACACCATTGGCGACCTGTGGACAGCGTCATCGTCCGTCGCCTCAACCTACCGAAGCGGGCTCCAGCACGATTTA